CGAATTGTGTCTACGTATCTGTTTTTTGTTTGTTTAACGTTATGTACGTATTTAATTTAATCACTTCATTAATGCGTATTTAATGGTTTTATAATCAGCGCTCGTCTCCTCGTTTTCTTTCATTCGTTCCGGAAGTGACCATTTACAAGCAGAGTTTCTTCCTTTCGCAGCGTCTCAGTTAAGGACAACGTAACACTGCTATCCAGAAAACATACATAAATATGTCATTAATTTTCACCCTCCGAAACCTTCCACTTAATGGCCCATTATACAACCCCCCCAACAAGACGTTCACGCTTTAAGACGATTTTTTCCGTTTCCTCCCCGAAGCTTATTGCAAGATTTTCGTGTACAACCCATCCGAACGATGGCTAATAATGGTTTTATAAGGATGCAATAAATGACGTTGTTATTATGTAAATCTGACCGATAGTGTGCGGTGTATGACGAAGGATTCGGGTCTCCGAAAGAATGATGCATTACAATGTCCCCGACCCATATAAATGCCATCTGGATGGTGTAAAGCAATTTTACAGTTTTTACAACGTGTCCGTCCTCAACCCGGGAATCCTTCGAGGGAGGAAGAAAAAATAAATAATGAACTCGGCGCGATGGGCCCTCATAAAAATCATCCCCTTATACATATTTTTTTTTTTTTTTGAAGAAAAAGAAGAAAGAAGCAGAAATATCGAATATTACTTTATTATCGCTTCCTTTCGTCGGTCCTAAGCAAACACTGTCATATTGGACCCGGGTTTCTGTTTGGTTTTATTGCGTGATTATTCGAGTCGTCACAGATTGTCCGATTTCGTTTACCGTTCTGAAAAGCTCGTCGTAAAAGATTCATCTCGTCAATTATTACTAAAACGACATCTTGAAATGACTTTCAAACCAATAACTTTTTTTATTGCACGCAATTTCTTTTTTTTTTAAAGCTTATGAAACCATTATTGTTGAATAGTTATTTCTTATTTCAATCACACATTTGCTTCAGTTGTTAAATCATTTGAATTGAAACTTTCAAATCATTCATAAAATTAATTAATTATTCTGTTTAATAGTTTCAAAAAATTGATTCTAATAACTTTTTATTACTCATAATTAACTTATTGTTAAATAATTATTTCCTATTTCAATCAACCACGTAATGCATCTATGTAATCGTTTTAATAAATTACATAATAATCAATGTTTTTACAATTATTTATCAATAAAACGACGTCCTCAATCACTTTCAAACGTATTTTACTTACTATGATTATTTAGTTTATGAAAGACAACATTATTTAATAATTATTTCATACTTCAATCTCATAAATTCTATTAATTTGTTGAATAATTAAAAATTACATAATAATTCCTGTTTTCCTTTTATAATATTCCTTTCAATTATTTATTAAGAAAAACTTTCAAACTAATAATGTTTTCTATGCACAATAATTATTTCACATACATATGCAAATATTTAACTAATTATTATTTCATATTTCAATCATACGTATTTATTAATTATTCAAATAATTTTAATTGCAGTTTAAAAAACAATCATACAAACTTTGAATTAAATAAGTTAGTGTTTAAACTGGTCTATTCTCTTAATATTTAGCATGCAAATACAGATTTCCTACGATTTACAAATTTTAAAAGTGATCAAAAAATTAAATGTCAAAACAAAAATTGATAATTTCTTTAAAAAATATAATATGTATAATTTATTTTGTTTCTTTTACCGTTTTTTTTATTAAATAATTGTGTTGTATACATTGAAAAGTATTTGTAAGTAAGTATTTTGTATATTGTAACCTATTTTATCAAATTTATGTAGCAAGTAATACATAATTTAATATAAATAAAAGTAAAAACCATGATAAAGTATGGTAAGAGTATATTTTGAAATTTTTTAAATTCCCCCGACTTACGAACAACCCTTTGGAACGGAACTAATTTGTAAGTCGGTATAAATCTGTATTGAGATTAGCTAAACATTATTTGATATTTCAATTTTATGCATACATTTCATTGATAAAATTCATTTTAATTAGAGTTTTGTAAATGTTTGAAAAAGTATTAAAATTATATAATATTTGCACATATATTGCGAATAAATTCCATACAATAGGACAACTTTAATAATAACATGTCATGCGAGTTAAAAGCTTCGCAAACGAATTCATACAAATAAAATTATTAATTTATTTTTCAATAAATAATTTTATATACATATACAAATATACATTTTATTTCCATTCTCTCGTATTTGCAAAATGCACTCACAATTTATTTGATGTGTAGTGAAATTCGCGTCAGTTTCCTTAAATATTTTATTAGAATTATTTAAATGTTAAAATACAAGCAAAATGTATTGTACGTTAAATGTATTTACTTATTAATATGAAACTTTATTTAATATTTATAGTAAATATAATTTTTAATTTAACAATAACAAATAGAACAGGCGTATTTATGGATCTATATCGCAAGCCCGACAACCGAAAATATCTGAATCTTGGTGTGTTCATGAGCTGGAATCACAATTAACGGATCTGTACGCAATTCGACAAACATTTTATTTTTATTTTTAATCGTTTACACATATGTTAATAGTTATTTAGGGTCTATATCGCAAGCCCGACAACCGAAAGACCGTCTATTGAAATCCCGACTATATCGCAAGCCCGACAACCGAAAGACCGTCTATTGAAATCCCGACGTTCGAAATCCCGACTGTATCAAAATCTCGACAACCATAATTGAAATCCCGACTATATCAAAAAAAAATTTCTACGACAACCGAATGACCGTCTATTGAAATCCCGACGTTCGAATCCACTGTATAATCCCGACTATATCAAAATCTCGACAACCATAATCCCGACTATATCGAAAATTTTTACAATAACATTTTTAAATTATTTCAAGATCAACAAGGGCAAATCATAAATTACTGACTTCTAATAAAATAAATTAAATTAAATGTAAATTGGTTATAGGAAATATAAGCTACATTCGTTATTTAAAGATAATTTTCAGATTTGAATAAGTTTTTTTGTTAAATCTCCAATATTTTAATTAGTGTTAAATCGATATTGTCATACGTACATTTCGAATTGTAACTGTCTATTTTTATTTGCACACGCCAATTGCATAATTAAATAGACAACGGCTGCAATTAGTTTCGACCTTTTGTGATTTTATTTCGACGCGGCATCGAAATACGCTGGATCGCGTTGTCATCTAAATAGGATTTTTGTGTTCAAATCAAGCAGGAAAAAAGAATGTAATTGAATTATTTCGTTAGGTATTACCTCTGTTTAATAATTTACTTAACCGGGCTTAATTGAATCAGTCAGCTGTCTGTTATCAAATTGGCGCACGTTGATGTTTCTAGAATTAATTATCGAGGAAATGGAGATATTTCAATTAGATTTCAGCAATCTGTATGTGAATGGTGGTTTCGCTCTAAATGATCATTGATCGTTTCTCATTTACAGGAATCTTGCTGATATTCCAACTTGTTATTCTTCAAAATTTGCAAATATGTGATTAGTAAAAAAAAACAATAAATTATCTCACTGTTACAAGTTCTTGAAGCTGTCAAACTAAAGCTGTCAAACATGACAATTAAAGCAATCTGTTTGTGAATGGTGGTTTCCCTTTAACTAGTACTTGATCCTTTCCCATTTACACAAATCTTGATATTGCAACATATTATTCTTCAAAATTTGCAAATACTTGACTATTTCATATTACTAATATTGTTTAACATTTGTTTCATCTATTTTATATAAAAAAACAATAAATTATCTGACAGTTACAAGTTTTTGAAGCTGTCAAACTAAAGCTGTCAGACATGACTTTCATTGTCATGTTTGACAAGTTCTTGAAGCTGTCAAACTAAAGCTGTCAAACATGACAATTAAAGCAATCTGTATGTGAATGATGGTTTCCTTTTAACTGGATCTTGATCATGGTTACATAAATCTAGCTGATATTACAACTTGTTATTCATAAAAATTTTGCAAATACTTGAATATTACATAATACTTATATTGTTTAATATTTTTTTCATATTTGTAATCTATTTTATATAAAAAAAAACAATAAATTATCTGACAGTTATACATTTTTGAAGCTGTCAATTAAAGTCATTTAGAATACGAATTTGTCAATTTCTATTTACACAAATCTACCTGAAAGTCTAACTTGTTATTTTCCAAAATACTTATTATATAAACAAGTTTGAATGAAAACATTTTTTTAAATAAACAAATTATTATTTTTGCTCCATAATTATTTATGGAATTAAACTTAATTATTTTTTTTTATCAATTCTTTTAAATATTGGTATTTTTTTGAGAATATTTCAATGTATGATCTACATGTTACGCCCTCTATCGGGTGGCTGGAACACCGATAAAGGTTTGATCCTATATACCTCTCAGACTTTCATCCCTCGCTTTTCTATTCCGAACTTATTACATTTCCAATCCGTTTATTGTAACTAATCCCGCGTTAATCCAAATTAAATTTAAGAAATTGATCCAGATCAACTGAAGCGGCATCTCATTATGTTCCAGCCTCCAAATCCCTTACTACAAAGATAGCATACAAAAAAAATATATTTCAACATATTTTCATTTTAGATTTTTTTTTTTAATAATCGATATTTCACGGACGGTCGAATCGGATTTTAGCTTGTACCTCAGAATCGTCTTCCTTTTATTAGTTATTTTCATTCTGCGTTATTTGTTGTTTACCTTTTTTCTTTTCCTCTGACGGAAGGTCTATCTACCTACGGTTTTTACCTGCGCTTTGCGCAAATTACAAAATAATGACATAATTATCGTCCTTACTCCCCCCACCAGTCGTCCTGGGAAGGACGCCTCCAATTGGACGAAATTTATGGAGGGGATGCGTCTGTGTGTGTATGTTTGGAAATTCACTTGCAGCTGTTCGAAATAAGTTTTATGGAGCCGTTGCTTCTGTCGTTTCGCTTCCCCTAGTCAGTCTGGTTTCGAGCGCGGTCGTGAGCGTATCGAAGCACAGAGAACTTCAGAGAGAAGCATTCGAAATACGAAAGCTCAACACACAGCAAGAGATTTTATTTAAACCATTTAAATATTATCAAACTGAACTTATGTTTCAGACAGTTGTTTATAGTTTTTTTAAATAGTTCTGATTTTTACTGTGTACTGGATCTGTGCTTTGTGGAAATTTGTTTTGTATTCGAGTGCAATTTCGAGTGGTTACTTTGTGATTAACTTTGTGAGGATTACCAATATTACAATTTTTTTGCATTTTGAAAATTGTCTTTGGATTATGAACGTTTGAAAGGTGCGCAAAATAATTGTTAATACATTAACAACCACATAAAATAATTTAAAACATTGATTATTCTTCTTAGTCTTCAAATATAACATAAAAAATATATGTATTGTATAGAACAACTTTTATAATTGAATAATAAAATACCATTGAGATTATCAAAGTTTCATAACTTTATTATAGAATACATCTATGGAATATTTAAAGTACAATACATTAACATGTAGAATGCATTTATAAAACATGTAGTACAATATTCATTAGTTGTGGGAGTTTTCTTATACGTTGAAAATAAATGTGAAAAATTAGTCTTTGTTCGAGTTAGAGCAAAGATTCGAACAAGAAATTATTGAAAAAAATATTATTTTGGAAATAATGGAGTGTTTTGTATTACGTACAAGAAACGTTATTATAACACTTTTTTTTTGTAATAGTTACATGCTATAAAAGATAAAGTTTAAAAAAATCATTGCAAAGCGCATAAATTTTTCAGCGTTAACAATTTCTATTTCTTTTTAAATTTATATAATTTAATATGAAAATAATTGAGATCTTGCCATTTTATATAATTAAAATTAATAATAACAACTAATAAATCAAGATAAGTTGTATAATTCTATCGATAAAAATTAAGTTAAAATATTAATGATTGCTTTGATTTTGAAGTTGTAAATATAAAAATGTGTGTTGGACATCAATAAAATGATAAAATATCTGTTTGTAAATTTGCAGAAGTTGGGTCTGTGGTCTATGGATAGACCTGACGAAGACGACATGGACAGCATGTGGGGAATGGACGCGGGAGCGGATTGCGACTGTCCCGGACCGCCACCCCCGCAGTTCATGTTGCCGCCTCCGCCACGTCCACCAATTTTACAACCGGCCGATCCGATGTATTGCACCGAAGACCCATTGCCCATAGAGACGTGCGATGCATTACCAGTAAGTAATCATAACTATAAAATATCCGGACATCTATTTCCTGACATTCCGCATTCGAAAACTACTGCTCAATTCTAATTCGCATCTCGAATTCTCGGAAACTCTTCTAGGGTTGAAGAGGAAACGAATAGTTCTCGATGGACCCCCCTCGGTGCGGGTCAGAGCTCTTTCTTCTGCGGTGATAATAACCATGTCGGAAATATTAACAGTCCAATTTTCTTCTGTGAATGTAAGAAACAAAAGGCAACAAAAGTTCGATGGGTTAGGACGATTTATGGGCCAGAGGCGTTTTGTTTCTTTGCTCTGGACACTTGACAACTCAATTTTAGTGATAATGGTCATTCCATGGAAATAGAAACTTAATCTTCTATTTAGTTTAGTCGTCTCCTTTATGTACGTTTATTCAGTCCTACATTCTCAACAACTTCGAATTTCAAACGCGAACAGATCATTGAACAAACAATGATTACAAAACCAGATTACAGCAGACAAAATAATTTACTTTCATATAGTTCTTTATCAAAAATATTACCGAATTTATATATTGAAATCTCCAATTAATTCAATAATATTATTTAATAAGAGAAGCAAAAAAATAAATATTATTATACAAACAGCAATGTTACACAATTGACGGAGATTACACACAGTACGATTATCGGTGTTAGGCAACCAAATGAACACGGTATAAAATCCGTGCGTCTTCATTTGAAATTTATTCCCGGGACGAAAGGTTGCGGCGAAGTTTAAATTTATAATTACAGATGGGCCTTCGAGAGACGCCCTTACATAAACAAAGCGAGTGGCGGCTTATTGAATTTACCACCCCGCGCACAGGACACTATTTTTAGACGGGCCGCATTTGCTCGTCTCGGAATGGTATGTCGACGAAAAAAAGCAGCAACAACAAGAATAACTGAATAGAATGAATTGTGTCTGTCCAAATAATATATTTTTGTAACTATGTAGTGTAGTTTAATCACTCAAAACAAAGCGTACTGAAATAAACAAAAAAAAAAAAGAACTTTTGGAAATGATCGATCAATCCGCATTTGCAATATTTGGTATGCATAATTAAGCCTGTTTTGTTGTTGATGTGCGAGCATTTTGTGGACGAGGGTTGTTCGTTTATTTTTATTTGCGGTTGTTTCCTCGATGGCAGCGTTGATGATTCAATTGTTTTCCCATGTTTTCGCGCTTAATTATTTGTGCAAATTCGGTGCGTTCGATTGGGTAATAATAAACGAGAGAGAGAGAGAGAGAGAGAGGGAAAAAACAACAACAACAAAAATAATTTGTTTGTTGGAAGGGACGGGATTGATTTTTGTCGCTGTTATTGGAATCTCGCGGTCTCTGCTCTGTAGTCTGATGGTGATGGGGTTGTTTAATTAAGGTCCGGTCCCCTCTCACCATTGTTTCCGCACATATTCATACACATAACCGTAACGCAATGTTCCGTATGCCAACTGAGATACTAAATTCTAAATAGGCTGCATTCGCAATGACGTGTTAATATTTAATAGCCCCGACTCGCGGATTTCCCAAAGGACGTTCGCACACCGAATCATATCATTTCACATGCAAATGCCGCCTTCACAAAATCACGACACATTCATTTGCGAACGTCCGTTTTTATTTGAAATTTATGTAGAATGCTTCCGCCGGACCCGTCCTTAATGGATTTACACATCCAGATACGGTCGGATGATCTATTGATAACGGGCGCGTATTGGGTTGCATAGATAGAGGAGCGGTTTTTCCGCTCGGTCGTCCGATTATGTAATAATCTGCTGGCCACCAATCAATTACGTGTTATGACGCCGATAACCGCAGATATCGAAATGCTGGTTGCATGAGTTTGCCAGCAAGCTCATCAGCAGACCGCTACCACCTAGAAACCTAGGTAGTAGGTGCTATAGGTATTATCCATGCTACTCCCGATAACGTCGGTAATTATAATCAAATCGGTAGATGGACCCCATAACGTATTGCTGTGGCATCTCTCTCCTCTCTACAATCCATGTGCGTTGCCTCTGATTTGTGGTTGGATAACTTGATAACGGAATGAAATGTAATTAATTCTGGTATGATTTAGAGGGCCGGGAGATTTCCTCCACCTACCGTCTGCCAAACACCCACCCTCCCCCACAACCCCGACACGGGAGGGGCGGTGAATTGTTGTTGCGTGCTAATGAGATTCGGAGCGAGAAACTTTACTTATTAGCCCCATCCAGTTTTCTGGATGGGGCTCGCAGATCTCTGACTCTCTCCCCTTCTTCGTCTTCTTCTTCTTGTAGCATTATGATGATTATGACGAGAGACGCTCTTCTTTAAATCCTCTCTCAAACGACTTTTCTTTCTTCTTTTTGCAGATGATAGACGCCAGCTACAGGAGTAGCCCCACTTTCCAAACTTCAGCTGTGATAGTCCTGTGTTCTGTTCTACTAGGTCTAGTCGTTTTTATTGCCGTAATTTTAGTCTGGAAGTAAGTATTTTCATTTATTATAGTTTTAAATTGCACTTTCAAGTAAAAAAAAGCCCAAATACAAGTTTCATACACATTATACAACAGATATAAATTTCTGTATACTAACTAAGAAACTGACTAATTAAATGTATTTATTTATTTTTACGAATTTCTCTTTCAAAACGCGTAAATAAACAATATTTTCCTAATTGGTGGGTGGTTACCGCTGTCATCCCTTATCTGCCGCTTTTGGGTGGTTCCTGTTTGTGCCTCTTTAACGCGATTGAAACTAACCAAATGTTCAAACA